TCCTTCAGCGCCAGCCACCGGCTACACAGGTAGGGTGTGCCCGCAGGTGCCCGCGGCGGGAGGGGGACCCTGTTCCTCCGGGAGCGTCAGCGTGGGCGGGGCGGGAGGCGTGCGCGCGCGCGCGCTCGAGCCTCGGATGGGGCCCGGCGCTCGGGGTCAAGTTCACGCACGAGGATGGGGGCGCCCCGGGCAAAGCTTTCGCGGGGCGGCGGCCCAGAATCCCCCAGATCGCTGCGGAGGGGGCAGGGGCTCTTGGTGGTTAACGGAGCCCGCTGCGGGGGGAGACGTCCTGGGTGCGGAGCTCACCCTCGTCTGGGTGACCCGAGGCAGCTTCTTTGTCTCTGGGAGTCCCTTAGCTGAGCTCAAAGTGTTTAAACCGTGAAGTTCAACGTTAAACCCGAATGATCACGCAGTCCTTGCTGCGTTGTAGACACGCAATACGTGGTAGCTAACACGTGCCAGGAGTCTGGGCCACCGTGTCTCGTATAATAATTGCAAGGCAAGTTTTATGCCTTTTTTTTTTTTTTTTTTTTTTAAATCAAAGATTTAAAAAAATCAACCCAGCAGCTGGGATGTGAACTCCGAGCACGCGGACTGCTTGCGTGCACCGGAGACTTGGTTTTGAGGAGTTTTGCCTCTCAATAGCAAGCTCCACTCTCTGAGCCTCAGTTTCCTCGGATGAGGATCATTTCGCACAGTGTTCATCCGTTCATTCACTTGAAGGGGTTTTGTTTTGTGCTGATCAGGGCTTGTGCTAGGTAGCAGGGGCGCAGCAGGATCGTGTTTGAAGTTTACAGTCTGGACAGTTTTGTGGACGGTACAGTGTGGGAATTTTGTGCAAGAAACTTTGGCGCTCTGCATGTAAGCGGTGCAGGGGTGGACAAAAATGGGAGGGGGATAAAAAAGAGGGTCTCAAAAGCAAAGGGGTTATATAACAGAAAGCTCAACATACGGGGATGGTAAGGCCTCACAGAACATGCGAATGGATTGGCTGAGTAGATATAAAAACCCGTTAAGTAAATTGTTATCTGGAACAACGGCTAAGTGTTGTGATTTTTTTTTTTTTTTTTTGAGTTGGAGTCTCTGTCGCCCAGACTGGAGTGCCGTGGCCGCTCCCGGCCACCGCAGCCTCGACCTGCTGGGCTCCGGCGATCCTTCCGCCTCAGCCTTCCGAGTAGCCGGAACTACAGGCGCGTGCTACCACACCCGGCTAATTTTTTTTTTTTTTTTTTTAATTTAAAGATGAGGTCTCGCCAAGTTGCCCAGGTGGGTCTCGAACCCGCGGGCTCAGGCAATCCACTCACCTCAGCCTCCCAAGGCATGGGATTACAGGCTGAGCCACCCAGCCCAGCTAGTGTTGTGATTTTTAAATTTCACCTAATTTGAATATCCTTCAACAGATTGGGAAATTTATTAGGCAATAGCTGAGGTGTAGTAATAAAGCAAGATTGTTGAAGAGGAGACTTATCAAGTCATGTAGTTATTATTTTTTGGTTATTTTTTTCCCCCGGATGAATAGTTTAATTTCTGAGAGAAATGAGATTTTAAGCCACTTGAGGGTAAACATTTATGTGTTTATCATGATATGCTCTTGCCTAATACATTGTAGGTACTCAGTAAGTGTTTGTTGCATTGAGAGATGGAAGGACCAGGAATACACCCGTTGGTGGCATCTTACTGTGGAACAAAGGGGTTGACCTTAAGTTTTGTATGTGCTAGTTTTTATGGTACAGTAGTTTAATTAGGGAGTATGCACTGGTTTCTGAAATCAACACCTCCACATTTGGTGCGCTACAGTAACAAAACTGTGAAGCCTTTCAAAGACCAGAGCAAATAATAAATATGGAGAACACAGAAGGGGCTTGAATAGGATACTTGTGTCATGCTGACTTTTTTTTTTCCTTTTTTGGGTCAGCAAATATCTGAGTGAAGAAGAAAACTTGAAACTGTTTGGGAAATGCAGCAATCCAAATGGCCATGGGCACAATTATACAGGTGAGAAAAATGGGTGCCATTTTAGCCCTTTAACAAGAATGGAGGTGTACTCAGCAGATATGGGCATAATCAGTGGAAAACCTTATGGATAGAGTGTGAATGCCTTGAGCCTCGTAGGAGAAGTTAAATGGAAGTTCAGAATGAAAAGATCTGTTGTCTTGGTTGAATGTATCCTTAAGTGTTCCCTCACAATTGTCAACTCTCTTACAGATAGTCCAAAACAAGGAATTTTTTTCCTTGGTCTTAGAGTGTGTAGTAAGTTTCTTTTTTGGTAGCTTGTTTCCTTTTGGTTAGGTATAGCTGAGGCTAGTGTTAAAAATTAGATTTTATCCTTTGATTAAATAATAACTAATAAAAGGAGACTATTACCTAGGAATGTACGGCATGGCAGAAAAATAGGTTGGGTCTAAAACTTGGTTAGCAGTGTTCTAAGAAAATAATTTGTGTAAGGATGAGAGACTTGATTCTTTATATATAGCTGACATCTCAAAAAGCAGCTACGCAAGCCATAAAGCATAACAGCATGTGGCGTAGTGGCATAAAAAAGACCATACAAGGTGTCAGAAGTCTAGGATTTCTAGCTTAGTTACGACCTCTTCCTTGATTTATGGTAGCTCCATCTCAGAGTATTATTCACTTATCATGTATCATGTAATACCTAATGGTATTTGGTTTTTTGTTTTTGTTTTTTCTGAGTAGGAGTCTCATTCTGTCTCTCAGCCTGGAGGGCAGTATCATGCTCCCAGTCACTGCAGCCTCAACCTTCCAAGCAGCTGGATTATAGGCATATGCTACCATGCCTGGCTAATTTCTTGATTTACTGTAGAGATGGGATCTCACCAAGTTGCCCAGGCTGGTCTCGAACCCGTGGGCTCAGGCAATCTTCTCATCTTGACCTCCCAAAGTGCTAGGATTATAGGCATGAGCCACCACGCCTGGCCTCCTAATGGAATTTGCATGGAGCTAAAAATATATAAATTTATAAAAATTATTCATTTGTAAAGCGCTGATCATCAAGATTTTTCAAATGCTTCATATAAGCACTTGTTAGCTTATACAAAGCGTTACTGTAAACTGGGCATACCTTCCTGTGAGTAAAGGGATAAGAGTTGTAGGCTTCACAGTAGCTTTGCTTGCTCAGAAAGGTACTGCTGAGGATTGGACCAGCTTGGCATATAGCTGGACATCTGGATGTGCAGGTTCTGCTTTTAACAAGCAGAAATTGAGCAGCATCTCAATCCTCCCCAGTGCATCAACACCATATGCGGCATTGATATCCTCCTGAGCGCCTCTGTCTTGCTTGAGTCTTGATCTGGTTGATAAAAACACCTTACCTAATAGAATGAATGTCTTGGGGAAAGTGTCTAAGTATAGCTTTGGGGGACAGAGATCTAATACTTCATTTATGTTGCCTACTTGTGCTTGGATGTTGCTAACTTGTGCTTGGGTGTTAATCTGTTGTAAGTCATGCTGTTTTTCTGGTATTTTGTTTTCTTTCCCGTAGTTGTGGTGACAATACATGGAGAGGTACGTGCAGAAAATATATCTGTGTGGTTTGTGCAGATGGCTGGGCCCTCTTTCGGCCAACGTAGTGGATTCTGTGTTGAAAACTTCTGTCCCAGTCAGTGGTGCTTCGTTGTTGGCCTTTGTGTGCGTGGTGAGCCGCTGCCATTCCAGGCCTCCCCTCTCCCAAAGTGTTGTCTTTCGTGTGCTGTATGTGGCCAGGTGGAAGGGGCGTATGATGCAAAGGGTACTTGTAGCACATGGTGCTTTCGTGCCGGGATCAGTGATCGTCTCTGGGATGAAGGCCAATGTGGGCACCATCTCTGCACTTAAGATAATTTGACCGAGGTTTAAATATGAAGAGCCTCTTAGAGTAATATTCCCCCTTGTTTATTCTTTAGATTGATCCTGCCACAGGAATGGTTATGAGTTTGGTCGACCTCAAAAGATATATGGAGGTAATGGCCCGTTGTGTGCTTCTCATGTGCTGTCCCCTAAGTATAATATCTGGTGACCTGATTCCCACCTCCCCGCCTGGTTATCTCCTGAGGTTCCATGACTCTGTGAGTAGAATTGGGGCTGGGAGTGAGGCCATGGATGGGGGAAGTACTCTCAGGGGGGTCTTCTAAAGGTGTTGGGGTTCATAATGGAAACGAGTCCCAGTTGTGTTGGGTAGACATGGCACGTGTTCCTCTTGTACTTCTTGTTGGAATAGCCTGATTCCCTTCATTTAACACATTCTACCCTTCTTTCAAGACATAACTTTCTCCTTGAAGCTTTTTTTTCTTCTCTGAATATTCCTTGTACTTTTTTTTTTTTTTTAAGAATTGAGGTCTTGCTCTGTTGCCCAGGCTGGAGTGCAGTGGTGCGATTAGCTCACTACAGCCCTATACTCCTGGGCTCAAGGGATCCTCCGGCCTTAGTGTCCTGAGTAGCTAGGACTACAGGTGTGCACCACCATGGCTAGCTAATTCTTAAGATTTTTGTAGAGATGAGGTCTTGCTGTCTTGCCGAGGCTAGTCTTGAACTCCTGACCTCAAGTGATCCTCCTGCTTTGGCCTCCCAAAAGGCTGGGATTACAAGTGTGAGCCACCATACCCGGCGCCCTTGAATCTTTGATCATAATTTTAGACACCACTCTGTCTTATTCATGCTGGCTTTATTATAAACTCGCTGGGGCAGTACATCATAGAGATAACACAAAAGAAGGTGCTCAATAAATAATTTACTGATTGTGTTGTTAGAGAATTCTTGCATTGTAAGAGACCTTGGAGATTATCCAAACAGACTTGTTTATTCCATAAATTGAGACCGAGAGATCCTGAAGAGTGTGAAGAGTGAACCAATGTGCCCCAGATCACGTGGTTAGACATTTTCAAAGTTGGGAGTGGACTTCTTTCCATCCTGGTGTTTTTAGTATGCCGTCATTTCACCTGTGTGTTTAGTTCTTCACTGCAGCTCTGCAACTTACTTTTGTTCTAAAATTTGACCTGTTTTTCGAAAATGATGTTATTGATACTCATTCTCTCATATTACTTATCTGTATAGTCAACAAATCTGTCTAGTTTGCATCACTTTTTGAGCTAAGTACCAGGGATGCAAAGATGAATGAGACACAGCCCCCAGGGTATGCACGTTACTTTTTCTAGGAGGTAAAGAATAGTAAGTGTGCAATAAGCATGGATTGAATAAACGAATAAGAGAATGAGTGAATGAACAAACAGTACTGTCCTTAAAATACTTGAGGAAAGTTATAAAGATAGAGTGCTTGAAACTTCCCGTATATATGTCTCCATGTCATGGAGAACAGAAAGAGAAAAAAACAAAACCCTGCAGAAGAGACTTCAGTGGAGAAACTGGGACTAGAACTGGGATTGAAGATAAAGCAAAGATATTTATTTTCTTGTTATCCATGTGGACCACCCCTTCATTTGATCTATTTTAGCAGCTGTTTGATCTAGAGCTTGCTCTTTTTTTATGATCCTAGTTTTGCCCATGAAATTATTGTTATTATGGTTATTAATGTGCTCTTCTTGAAACCACACCATTTGGAAAATTAAAAGTCTAGACTTTTTACAATAGCTAAAAGTAAAAACCTAGAAAGAACAAGGCAATTCAATCCTTGCTAATGGCAAGAACAACATTATGTTACCATATATGAGCATTAGCGAGTAATGGTCTTTATGTATTTATATTTTTCTTCCATGAGCCCAACATCATTCTTAAACTACTCTTCATAGCAGGAATTTAGAATTACTTATATGATTTCATCCACCTCTGCTTTACTAAATGCAAAGCATATACTCACTGGATCTTTTTCCTAATAATATTGCGGCATTGTACTATAGGTCTGACTGTGTTGTGGAAAAATACTTCTGCTAACTTTCTGGACAGATTTCAAGAAGCATTAAACTGAATTCTGAATCACAGTGGTTTGTATTATGAGAAAGCCCCAGGAATATTCCCCTGTACTTTTTGGTTTCTCACCTTCTCGCATTCAGTAATGACGACACCTTATCATTACAGACAGCTGGGCCTGACTTTATTTTACAACTTAGAACTTTGTAAGATTGCTTTTGTAAGACACAGATCTAATACTTAAAAGAACCGAGTAGGCCAGGCTTGATGGCTCAGCCTGTAATCCCAGCACTTTGGGAGCCCGCGGGTTTGAGACCAGCCTAGGCAACTTGGCGAGACCTTGTCTCTACAATACAAAATAAAAAATTAGCCAGTCGTGGTAGTATGCGCCTGTAGTTCTGGCTACTTGGAAGACAGAGGTGAAAGGATCGCCAGAGCCCAGCAGCTTGACACTGGGGTGGCCATGAGCGTGCCATTGCACTGCTGCCTGGGCGATGGAGTAAGACGCCAACTGAAAAAAAAAAACACAAACAAACAACAACTGAATTGATGGCTAAATGGTGGGGGAAGGTTCAGAGGCATTGATGGAACAGTTTGGAATTTGAGTCATAAGTGGAATCAATGCTTCTTCCCTTCATGTTGTTTCTAGGAGGCAATTATGCAGCCCCTTGATCATAAGAATCTGGATATGGATGTGCCGTACTTTGCAGATGTTGTAAGGTGGGTGTCACTGTCTTGCCCTATACTGATAGTAAGAAAGAAGAATTGATTTGAACCCTTTATCTGATGACTGTGTTATTTCTAAAGTTTTATTTAATGATGTCTTTTTATTTTTTGAGTTGGAGTCTCACTCCATTGCCCAGGCTGGAGTGCAGTGGCACAGTCCTGGCCACCGCAGCCTTGACCTTCTGGGCTCCGGCGATCCTTCCGCCTCAGCCTTCCAAGTAGCTGGAGCTACAGGCGTGCGCTACCACACCCAGCTAATTTTTGATTTATTGTAGAGACAAAGTCTTACCAAGTTGCCCGGGTGGGTCTTGAACCTGTGGGCTCAGGCAATCCACTTGCTTCGGCCTCCCAAAGTGGTGGGATTACAGGCTGAGCCACCAAGTCCGGCTTAATGATGTCTTTTAAAACTAGAGTTTCTGTTCTCTGTAAATATTAAACATGAAATTTCATTATTTGCATTGTGAACTTCTTTACTTTCTTTTTTCTACAGCACGACTGAAAATCTAGCTGTATATATCTGGGAAAGCCTCCAGAAACTTCTTCCTATGGGATTTCTTCATAAAGTAAAAGTATATGAAACTGACAATAACATTGTAGTCTATAAGGGAGAATAGCTCTTAGAGGTTAACATTGTGGAAAGACTAATTTCTTTCCATATTTGAAAAAGATCATTATCTCCTTGGAATATTAAAAGAGGTTGTTGCGCCTCCCTTCACATTGTGCTCTGGAGTGCCTATTTATTGAAGTCATTGTAAGACCTGTTATAAGTTTGAATTTATTTGAAACCAAACTTGTAATATATATCCTGAACATCATTTAGAGAGTAATTTATTTATAAATTAAATATCACTTCATTTTCAGCAAAACGTTTTGGTGTGGAATTATTTGAAAGCAAAAGAAATCTATTTTTTTCTCCATTATCTCATTTTTAGAATTCATTTTTTTCTTGGAATAAGTGGTAAAAATATTTATGTGACTTAGAGTAGGTGAAGTTTATAAGAAATTAAATGCAGGTGACTACAAAATCTGGACATACTGTATATATATTTTAATAGATTGATCTCCCTTGCTTCCTCTTGAATATGCTAAAGGCAAAAGTTTATTAAGTGAAAATTAGACACATAAATCATCTGAGGCTGTGCATAGCAGGTGCATGTACAAAGAGGTATTGAAACGCTGCTTTAGGGCTTATTGTTCATTGCAGTTTTGCACAGCTTATTGAAGTATGAATTACTAGTGAGGGGCAACACGTGAGACATAGCATGGACTATTAGCAAATTATTGCATATATTTGACTGAATTTCTGAACCTTATGGCCAGAATACTTTTGAATTCTTTTAACTCAGAAGACTACAGAATAATCACGTATTTTAAACTGTGCTAAGTCAACACAAAAAGGATCTACGACTCTGTAAAGCATTTCCTGTATTCAGGTTTTCCTAGTTGATCCTATTTTGTTCTGATCACTGAACTTTTCTGCGTAAGTTGAACTATATTCTTGGCATTCCTCTCTGGGATCGTTTCCTCATGACTGACTAAATCCACAAGAATTTATTTTCTAATTTTGCACAAAGAGCTGTTCTCTGTTGTGTTCTCATTTGTATTCTAAATTTCTTAAATACAGGGTTTTATTTTCTCTCCACATAGCAACTAGTATACAACGGCTTATCAGAATGTTACTGCTTGAAAATATTAAAAGGACTTATGCAGTGATTACTGTTCTAGAAAAATTTGCATAGGAGTAGACATTTATTTTGGGGAGTTACTAACTGCAGAAATGTTTTATAAACTTTGAAGATTAGCAATACCCTCTCAATAAACTCGAATATTTTAGTTATAAAACATAATTGTATCTATGTTTTCTATGTAGAATGTTTTGTATTGGTTACTTGAAAGGTAGGATACCTATTATTTATTAAGGCACTTTATGTTTTAATTCTTACAAATACCACACAAGACAGGTATTATTTTCTTTATAGATGAGAATAATTAAAGTTGAGAGAGTTTAAGCTAATTGCTCTAGATCATTCAGCAAATAAATTGGAAACTGGAGTTTAACATTTAGGGTCTTTCTAACTCCAAAACACAGACTTTTAAAAAAAGGAACAATGTATGTATATGCCAGATTTAAAAATCTGATGTCATATTAGAAAAAAAAATTTTTTTTTTGAGTCAGAGTCTCACTCTGTCCCCCAGGCTGAAGTGGCACAATCACTCCCACTGCAGCCTCGACCTGCTGGGCACCGGCGATCCTTCCGCCTCAGCCTTCCAAGTAACTGGGACTACAGGCGTGTGCCACCATGCCCAGCTAATTTTTTTTAAGCATAATAAGATATTTTTATTATTAATTCTATTAAGCTTTACTAATGTTGAATGTAGACACCATTTTTAAAATTTTAAAGATGTGGGGTACAATTCAGGATCAGATATACAAATGGTCATTGTACAGGTAATGTTTGGGCCTGACTTTGGTCCCCATTTCGTCCGGTTTGAGATCAGGTCCCCTTATGGATGAAGTGTGTCCCTCCTTCCCTCCCTATGCAGTGTCCCGCTACTGCCATCCCTTTCTTATAGTGCTATGATAATTTTTCAGTGTCTGCTTATGAGTGAGCACATGTGGCACTCAGTTCTTTGTTTCTGTGATAGATCACTGAGTATTATAGACTCTAAATCCATCCAAATTTTTTTATTTTATTGTAGAAGTAAATGTTGCTCAGGTTGGTCTTGAACTTCTGGGCTCAGGCAGTCCTCTCACCTCTGCCTCCCAAAGTGCTGGGATTACAGGTGTGAACCACCACACCTGACCTAGAAATTTATCTATTTTAAAAATCTCTTTCTATCTAGTTGATGATCTAGTAAATGAGTGAGTGAGTGGATAAGTGATTGGTTGGAAGGATCAAAGATAGTCTATAGGTGATTTACTTCTTTTTTTTGTTTGAATTGGAGTCTCACTCTGTCAGGCTGGAGTGCAGTGACACTCATGGCCACCCCAGCCATCAGCCTGCTGAGCTCAGGCGATCCTTCCACCTCAGCCTTCCAAGTAGCTGGAACTACAGGTGCGTGCTACCACGTCCAGCTAATTTTTTGTTATTTTATAGTAGAGATGAGATCTCACTGAGTTGCCCGGGCTGGCCTCGAACCCACGGGCTCAGACAATCCACTTGCCTCGGCCTCCCAAAGTGCTGGAATGACAGGCTGTGCCACTGAGCCCGGCCAGTGATTTACTTCTAAATCTCTCTAGGGCCTGCTCTCACAGACCATATCAAGCTATTGTCATATTACCCTAAATTCCATATGGGCAAAGTCTTTATTTCTAAGCAGAGTATATGGAAATTTGTTAAATAAATGAATAAATGGCCTACTGGTAGAAACTGTTGAAATTGTACATTACCTTATATACATAATGAGCACTTGGTACATATTTTTAGAGCTGAATTACCTGAACATTTTGAGGCTTGAATGCTAGGCCTAGTACTTTACTGTTTGGGTGGGACTGGATGTGTTCTGAAGTTGCTTCTATCTATTTCACTTTTAGGTGATTTTAAATATTATGCATGTAGAGGAGGAAAAAGGTCAGTATGGGCTGATGAAGCCTGGACGAACTTAGTAGAGGAGGTGTGTCCTGGATGGTACTCACAGTGACGGGGTAGGGAGATGGAGATTTGGAATTCAGAAGACAAGAGGGAATGGATACTGAAAGGGTGCAGGGTCATTAGTGAGGTTACTAGGGTGAGAAGGCACAAAGTATGCTTGGGAGATAGTGAATCGACTCATCTTAGTAGAGTGGTAGCAAGTTGTAGGAGCATAATGGGAAACAAACTTGGAAATATAAGATGGGGACAGCAGGTTTTTTTATCTTTATTTTTATTTGAGTTGGAGTCTCACTCTGTTACCCAGACGCCTCAACCTGCTGGACTCTGGTGATCCTTCCACTTCAGCCTTCCAAGCAGCCAGAACTACAGGTGTGTGCTACCACGCCTGGCTAATTTTTTGATTTATTGTAGAGATGAGGTCTCGCCAAGTTGCCCAGGCTGTTCTCGAACTCATGGGCTCAGGCAATCCTCTCACCTCAACCTCCCAAAGTGCTGGGATTACAGGCTTGAGTCACCACACCCGGCCCTTTTTTTTTTTTGAGTCAGGGTCTCTGTCACTCAGGCTGGAGTGCAGTGGCACAATCATGACTCACTGCAGCCTTGACCTCCTGGGGTCCCGCAATCCTCCTACCTCAGCCTCCCAAGCAGCTGGTACTACAGGTATGTGCCACTACACCTGACCCATTTTTTGAAAAAAAAAATTTGTAGAGATGAGATCTTGCTATGCTACTCAGGCTGATCTCGAAGTCCTGGGCTCAAGCAGTGCCTTGGCCTCCTAAAGTGCTGGGATTACAGCTATGAGCACACCTAGCCTAGCTGGGTTTTTTTTTGGGGGGGGGGGGGCTGCTGTTGTGTTTTAAAGAAGATAAACGGAGCCGGGCTTGGTGGCTCAGCCTGTAATCCTGCGCCTTTGGGAGGCTGAGGTGAGTGGATTGCCTGAGCCCGCAGGTTCGAGACCTGCCTGGGCAACTTGGCAAGACCTCATCTCTACAATAAATAAAAAAAATCAGCCCAGCGTGGTAGCGCATGCCTGCAATTCCGGCTACTCGGAAGGCTGAGACAGCAGGATCGCCGGAGTCCAGCAGATCGAGGCTGCGGTGGCCGGGAGCGGCCACTGCACTCCAATCTGGGCGACAGAGTGAGACTCCAACTCAAAAAAAAAAAAAAAAAAGAAGATAAACAGCTGGACAATGGGAAGTAAAGAAACTAGCTGCAACGCTATTGCAGGAATATAGCCAGGAGGTAATGGGTGCCTGGATCCTGGTGGTGGAAGTGGACAGTGGACGGAAAAGGATAGAGCTAATGTTTGCATTGCCTACTGTGGTGTCAGGCATTTGCTAACTACTTCTTATGTTATCTCATTTTCTCCTCATAACCACCCTGCTGGGCGATTTAGTTATCTACTGCTGCATAGCAAATTACTTCAAACAGCACACTTTTGTTATCTTATCTCAGCTCTGTGGGCCAGAAAGCCTGAGATGGCTCAGGGTCACGCCCATGGCTACAGTCATCTCAAGGTTTGATCAGGACGGATCTGCCTCCCATCTCACTTAGGGCTGGTGACAGGACTCAGTTCCTCACAGGTGGTTGGACTGAGGCCCCGGTTTCTCTGTTTCTTTCCATGTAGGCCTTTTCATAGAACATCTCCCAACACAACTGCTTGCTTGGTCAGAGTGAGCCAGTGGTGGGCAAGGGAGAGAGCCAGCACTGTCAAGGTACAGTCGTGTATAACTGAATCCCCTTTTCTGTATTTTGTTCCTTAGCAGTGAGGCACTAGGTCCAGCCCACACTCAAGGGAAGGGGTCACACGTACATTGTGACGTGGAGATGGCGGGAGAGGAGGATAGTATAGGAGGCAGGGAGTATATATCATGCCCTTTTTGATGCTGGGGAGTAAAGCACATTTCATTTGGCAGGAGCGAAATATCAGAGCAGCAGACATTGTTTACAGTGGGAATTGTGGAGTTTGTGGGCAGAAAAATAGAGAAATCTGGGAAGCACAACTCTTGAAATTAAAACCAACTCTAAGGTGAGAAGCTAAGAAAAAATATAATCAGCGTATCTCTGTGATCAGAATGACCAGAACTTAGCTGTCATTTGCATTGGCCTCATTGATGTAGTAACCACCAGTGGGTTCCGGAAATAGCCAGAATACTTTGATCAGTTGCATACATGTGGCCACGAATACCCTAGACCTAGATAAGTGATCTGTTTGGCTTTTTAAACTCTGGACTTTTAAATTCCTCCTGGGACTGGAATTATCTTAAAGATGG